AGCAGCTGACAGAGTGCCTTGCTTCCGCTTAGAAGTAGTTTTTGTTCGGTCACGGGTCTTTACTTTGAGTTAGCTAAAGTTTCTGTTCGCTCCGACGACCACTGTTTCACGAGCACACATTTGACGACGACTGACCAAGCTTCGTGGCAGGTACGCAAAGAAAGCCGACTACGACAGCACTGGCGTGTGAGGTGTCCATGTTTTCTTGCTATAGATCTTTACGGAAGCGGGAGCACAGTTTTTAGATGCAGCTGCCTGCTGAGATACAGGTGGTGCTGGGGAATCGCATGACAGACCACCGGAGTTTTCATCGACATATATCGACATGAGGTGGGGGTGGAGTGGAAAATAGAGAGAGTCTGCCCGACCCTAGAGACCTAGAGGTGCTGTGCAAGACTCCAAGCAAGACTCTGCTCGACGGAACTCAGAGCCAACGATTAATGTCGCACAGCCAGGGCTAATTTCCTGTGTCTGGGGCGAAACCTGACATCTGACATTCTTGAACAAATGTGGAATGTTGGTGTCAAGGGTATATTTTACATGTGGTTGCCTCCGCCCGAATCAGATCCAGGCATGCTTGGCAGCATTTGTGGCTTACATGCAAAGCTGTCTGACTCAGCGTCCGTCGTGCGGCATGTCGCGCACCAGATTCCTCATGCCCTGCTGCTGCATGCTCCTAGTTGCAGCGGTGCTTGCATTGGCCGATGCCTTCGTCGTGCCATCTTCGCCACACGCATCCTCGGCACCCAGCCGCATCAACAAGATCGACAGGGCTGAGCCAATGATTTCGAGCGATGCAGGCGCAGTGTTCATGTCAGTTCTGGCCGGTCTCATCGTGGGAGTGGCCGTGCCGGCCAGCAGCTTTGCCGCGGAGTCGGCAGCGCCGGCAGGCTGGGATGTAGCATGGTTGCAGGCTTGCGATTGCTGAGAGTTCAAGCAGTCGCTGAAGTTTCTTTCGTCTGGCGTCATCAGTTGGTATGGGATGGTAGAGAGGTGATCCGACCGGCACGGGGCTCTTGCGACTTGTATTTCGGCTCGGAACCAACTAACCAACTCTGAATTGAGTGTTGATTTTTCGGCAACTTGACAGCAGGCACCGAGAAAGCTGCGAGCACCCCGCAGAGCAGGAAGGAGGCAGGGCGCTCTGTAGGGCTGCCTTTCACCTTTCAGCTTTCATGCTGCAGGAGAGTTGTAGCAACGAACAGAGGAGTAAATGTTGTTTTGTGCACGAGGCAACCTACGCAGAGATGAAGAAGGTGGCAGAGAGACTGCAGGCCTGGGATTGTACATGGTTCGGCCGCGGAACTGTTACGAAGATCTGCCTGCGAGAGGCAGCGCCCAGCAAGGCGGATCGCCTGAAAGCGAGCCAGCAGCAGCTGACAGAGTGCCTTGCTTCCGCTTAGAAGTAGTTTTTGTTCGGTCACGGGTCTTTACTTTGAGTTAGATAAAGTTTCTGTTCGCCCCGACAAGACAACATCCGACAACAATTGTTTCACCAGGAAAAAGACTGACCAAGCTTCATGGCAGGTACGCGAAGAAGGCCGACTACGACAGCACTGGCGTGTGAGCATCATTTTTGGACACAGCTTCATGCGAAATGACAGGTGGTACTGAGGCATTGCTTGACAGTCCACCGAACTTTTCACCAGTAGTGCAGCATGAAGCTACTTCGTTGAAAAAGGATTCTTCCTACATGCGCAGGGGCTGTATGACCCAACAACCTTCCTGCCTAACATTCCTTGACGAAACCGGGTTCAGGTGCGGATGCCAGGTGATCAATCCATGTCCCACCTACGTCACGTGTGGTTGCCTCCGCCCGAATCAGATCCAGTCGTGCTTGGCAGCAGTTGCGACTTGCATGCAGAACTGTCCCACCCAGTATCCTTCGTGCGGCATGTCGCGCTCCAGATTCGTCACGCCCTGCTGCTGCATGCTCCTAGTTGCAGCGGTGCTTGCATTGGCCGATGCCTTCGTCGTGCCATCTTCGCCACACGCATCCTCGCCGCGCAGCCACATCAACAAGATCGACAGGGCTGAGCCAATGATTTCGAGCGATGCTTGCGCAGTGTTCATGTCAGTTCTGGCCGGTCTCATCGTGGGAGTGGCCCTGCCGGCCAGCAGCTTGGCTGGCACGGGTGGAGCGAGACCGGACTTCCAGGTGGTTCGACCAGGCTGGGCTGTTGCATGTTTCAAGCGTGAGGTTCAGCTAACATTACCTGCGACGGTCCTTCGGGCACGTGTCGCCCGAAGCATCGACGGTCTCGTGTTACCGGCTGGACGCATTAGCACTTCGCCTGCGGCGCCCTACGTAGATCAAAGCGGTTTCTACGATAGTGGCAAGCGGGGTGGCGTCGGTTGAAAAGCTGTCGGGCCGTGCTCTGTTGGTGCTGAGACTCTCAGAGGCTCTGGGTTGGCAGCGTGCTACGAGCAAAGCTTTGCAGGCTTGATGCAAGGCATCGATGGAGCTTCGGCTGCAACGAAACCCGGCGAGATCGACCATGTCACACGCAGCAGAAGCGAGGCAAGTGCGAGTCATGTCCAGAGACTCCTGCAGACCAGGTTTGTTGTCAACCGCTGTTAGCTTCTGTATCAGGCATCCTATTTCCCACAAGTTCTGGAAGAGCTGAAGCAGGAGAAGGCGAAACTGGAGGCCCACTGTCGCGACGCTGCTAGCTGAGACACGTCGTTGTGCCTGCCCCACGTGCCAGGCAGCACCCAGCAAGCAGGAGCGCCTCATACAAGACATGCAACAGATGCGGGAGCGCCTTGGCCGCTGGCTGTAGGTGGACTTGTCGAGACCGCGAGCTGCAAACTTCAGGTACGCGAAGCTGGCCGTGTTCCACACCTCTGAAGTTCCGATGTGACTGCTGCCACGGAAGATCGGCTTCGACCTGTGGACATTTAACACCGCACGTTTCGACCAGGGTTTAAACGGCATCAGCCATTCTCGAAGCCACCTCAACTGCATTGATGCTGTCTGTATCAATCGGATTTGAACCCTGAGTCCATGTGAGGCTTTGGACATGCAGTTGCTTTGCATGAAAAGAAAGCCTCACATGCCGAAGGTTCGATAGTCTTTACAGAATGTATTGGCACAGTTTTGGAAGCCTCCTGAGTGTCTTCAGTTGGCCCATCGGTATCCTGCCTCTGCTTGTATAGATCCGTGCAGAGATAGGTGGCACTGGGGCATCGCTTGATAGACCATGAGGCTTTCAGCGGTGACACAGACCTAGTTGAAAAGATGGCTCCTTTTGCATCTTTGGCCGGTTTGTGCTCGACAGCCATGTCCTCCCGGAGAAGCCTGACACCTTGATCGCAATCTTTCGCCTTCCTTTCAGGACGTCCAGATCAGATTCCCAGCCGCCGCATCCTCCAGGCAGGAAATCTAAGTCCAAGAGCCTTCAGATGACAGGCGGGAGGTGCACGGATCACGTTTGTTCCCCGAGCTCGCGCGAGCCACTGCGCTTGACTCGCCTTGACAATGGTGCGTCTTGAGCATGACCTCGTCACGCTTGGAGAGCGCTGCAGAATGATGAACTTCGAGGCAACCCTAATTCTCTTCTGATCCGACGGATGTGCAGAGAATGGTCCTGTGTCTGAAGCAGTGTTCCATCTTCCTGTCGTTCAGCCGAAGAGCCCGTTGCAGTTGTTTAGCGGCATGTTGCAGGATTCGCTGCCACGACATCCCTTAAAGCTTGAACGGTTTCCGGTGTGCATTGGTTGGTTGGCAGGCGGCATGGCCCTCTACTGATGACGACCAAGGAAACCCTAATTCTCATCTGAGAAGTGAGATCTGAAGCAGAACCACCCTTGTGTCTGAAGCGGAGCTTTGCCGCTCTTGCCTGAAGCGTGGATTTTGTTGTGGTGTCCTTCAGGCCCGGCCCAGGCCCGGCCAGCTTGTTAGTGGCCGGAGTTTGCTTGTCCTTTTTTCTTTTTTAAGAGAATGCCGGCTGAGGTCGAGTTGATTTCCGAATTCCATGCTGGTGCAGATCGACAGACCTAGTTTCACATCTCCGCCGGTCGGCGGGATGTGATACATGAACAGCCCGCTGGGACATCGAAACATGTCGCCAAGCTAGGCAAGATCATGGCATGATGGCAATTTCTTGATGGAAAAAAAAGCCTAGATGCCTAGAGCTAGAGCTGACCGCAGGGAGTCTTGCCTGTTCGATAGTGGCCCTTGCCCTGTGCTCTGAAGAGGCCGCAGGTTTCCAGCGCCGAACCGGGTGAGGCGAGCTATGACGGTCAGAGCGAGGCAAGGCCCTGAAAGATCGCAGGTGGCAACCCTCAAACCCCAAAGGCAGAGCATGGCTTGCAAACCCAAAACCCTGAAGATCGCGGGCGACAGAAGGGCCTGGCTGGAAGACCCCAGCACAAACCCTGGATCTTCTAAAGTTTGGAGGGATGTAGAGATTTCTATGTTGACGTTGAGCTGTAGGAGGACATCAGGCGAGTGCTCTACAACTTTCTGATTTGCAGTTTTGAGGTTCAGGACGAGTCAGCAGGTTTTCGGGTAGGCAGGAGCGACTGCAAAGACTCTGGAGCTCGTTGTCTGTGGGCCCATGCAGTCAACATTGGAAACGCTGCCCCACTAGGGCGTGCCACACGCACACGTGGGGGTGACTGTTCGTCTAGTGTCAGAGCACCAGGACTCAGGGCTTGCGCCATAGTAGGCTCACACTGTCAGCCGTCACGGTGCATGCTAGCCCTTCTACTGGCGAGCGCTCCTTCCGACCATTTGAGGCTGACGTCAGGTGGTTTCAGTACTAAGACAGAAAGACTGAGGATCGAAGACTCTTTGCAGGATCATGGTAATTCAGGCAGTTCGTAAAGGCCCTCATACGCCCCAGTGGTCCATCAGCTACTGAGATGTGTTGCCGATGAGGCTGCAGAGACTTTTATTTCGTGGAGCTGGGCTTGATGTCCGTATTTGCCGGTAGGACGTCAAACAGCAATGGAGACTTAGTTTTGCAGCGAGGTCTGTTGGAGGATCCCCGTCCTGGACAAGAGTGAGCCTTTTTGCTCAATTATGCGCTTTGTGTTGCCCAGAGCTTCTAAAATCTTCGGTGCGACTTTCTAAACACTTATGTACAACAACTTGCCCAATTTCAGATTTCTGCTCTCCGCAAGCTCTGCAGAAAAATGCGTCTGACGATCAGCGGCAGCAGCCATCAACCAAGCAAAGCACAAGTGCTAGATGTCTGCATGCATCAGACACTGATGGCAAGTTAGGCCAAACGGCAATCTCGAGTTTGTGGCGAAGACGGACTCCGCTTCGCTGCTGTACCTGCCTTACTGAGACGTTGCAGAGGCCTGCTGAATCTGCACTTGCTGGGACACCGTCCCAAATGCACGCCGTCAGTCTGATTCATCTCGCCATTCCACACATGCATTGCAGAATGATCCAGACCGATTGACCGCCCAATCTCTGTGTGTGTGTACCAACCAGGGCTCACAACTTGCATCTGCTTCGAGCGTGCTGTCTGAGGCCATTCACCTTCGATGCTGTCAGGCCTGTCCGTCCTGCCCACTGTAGTCGTCATCGGAGTGGGGCGCTTCGCAAACCGGCAAGCCGTGATCCGAGCGGCCGCTTCCCATCAGCTGAAGGCGGGGTGCCACGAAGTGCCCGATGGACATCATTGAGTGCTACCACATGGAGAAGAAGGACCCGCAGCCAAGAATTTGCTTGAGCTGCACAGTCCTTCGAACTTGCGTGCTGAGCTATGTCGAGCCCAGACATGATGCAGCAAATTAAGAGCCTCCTGCATGAGCTAAGCATCTTGTGAAAGCGCGAAGGGTTTTCAAGGACTATGCAGTCGTGTGCAAATGTTACAAACTTGAACGGATATGTGGGCAGTGTGTGGGGCATGAGATCCCTTTGAGGGCTGTAACAATCCCTTCCAGAGTTGAGCCTCCCTGACGTCCCGTCTCAAGGACGCTATCGCTTTTGCGTGCGAGAAGGCAGCTCTGGCACGTTTTCTGTCACGAGGTCCAGTGGGATGTGCAAGCCTAGTCTCGAGCTTGCGGCATGAAGTTGACTCGAGAGCATCTGCCACAGTCTAACTGTGGAACCTCTAAGCCCCTTGACACACTTCTTCCCACACCATCGATGAGCTGATGGGACTCAGCAGATGCAAGCTTTGCTGCCAAGGGACAGGCTTGATGCGCCTTGTCCGTTAGAGTGGGTTACGGACCTGCCAGCGCCCCATGTAGCCAGAGGGGTGCTGATGCAGGAATGTCTTGTCGGCCAAAGGTTCCGTCCTGCTGCGCTGTGGGAAATTTATGCTGCACGTCCCTGGCATTCGTGGTGTGATGCCGCTTTTGGATTCGTCTCGTCCCAACATCGCCGCCCATCCTTTCAAATTCGCCCTCGCTGACGCGTGCATGTGGGATGCCGGCCGATGCTGACCGTCACGTCTTTGTTTCGAGCCGAAGTCGGATCTCTCGCTGGTTAATTACGTCGTGGCAGCCACGAAAGTCGAGTGGGGCGCAGGAGAACCGAAATCGGCGCAGCTAATGGAAGTGGCATGCCAACTTGGAAAACACAGCCGCATGAACAGATTTTGCATTAGTCAGCTGTGCCGTGCGACGGCACCAACACGACAAAAAGGCGGAAGTTCATGAATAAGTTCAAGCCGATCGTCGTATGCATTCCGGGTACTGCGAGTTTTTGACGGCAACTCTGCAGTGCTTGTATACTTGCATTACTTGCATCAGACTTCGAGGACGATAAGGAATGAATTTCATGCCCAGGAGTGCTGGCTTCTGGGAGGGGTGCAGTTACAGTGTAGTGAAGAGTCAACAGTGCTCCTCAGCGTTCAGTTGCGACGTCCGTGGAACCTTCAACTAGCCCTAGCGGGAAGCCCACCCTGTCACCTGTGGCCAGTCCTGCACCTACTCCTTCCGGGTACGCGGCTCAGCTCTGGGTCTCTTGTTGGGGTCATTCAGAAGCTTGGGCCTTTTATCTGCTATCTGATTCAGAAGTCCATGCGACAGAGCAGCAGTCGGAAATCGAGGGTTCTCACTGAAATCAGCCGGGCTCCAATCCATCAAAGACAGGCTGCGTGGCGCTTCAAATCCCCACTTAATGCCACTCAACTACGAGAACGCTTGCGAAAATTCAAAGCATAAGACACCTCTTTTCCTGCACGACTCGCCTCCAGATCGGTGCGTGAGCTGCTTCCACTGAGCCGCCTTACCCTTGAGGCAAGTGGATCAAAATAATCATGGAATAATCTGACTGGCTCTTGATTCTTGATTTTCTGATATCATAGGTGCCTACAATAACTCATAACATAGATCATACAAAATAACTCATACTTCTCTAATAATGAAACGGTGTCGTGTTGGTCGCCTCCGTTTTTTGTGCTCGCCACTGGCCCCTGTAACCTCGTCCTTTGGCGCGTTGAAGCCTCTTGCATGCCTGTCTCGCGGTAGGGAAATTTAGTACCGGGAGTACTTCTTTCCCGGTACTAAAATTTCGCGAAAGTTTTGGTAGATTTAGGAAATCTCGTGATATTAAAATTTAGGAATTTTGGGTAGCTTTAGGGGGACAAGCTGCGGCAATAAAATTTCCGAAATTTTCGGTAGGCACTTTCGTGGGGAAAAAATTTCCGAAATTTTAGGAACATGCTCGCGGCAATTACTCCCAGTGCCCAGCGCAGCTTTAGCGGAGTGCAGCACGCTCTTTTCACAGATGCCTCGCTCACGTATCGAAGCTTTTGGGCTCGAGCCTTCCAGCTCGAGCCGGTGATGTCGGGGCCGTGGGTGTGCCCCGGCTCCGACCCGGATGGTTGGGAGGGCACGCAACTCCACGAGGGCGACTATGTGGAGATTGCGTGCTACGACACCAACCATTGCCGCCAAGGTACAGCTTTGGTGCGGCTGGATAGGCTGGCGGAGAAGAGCAAGCGTGGACAATGGGCCGAGGCTTCGTTTATCGTCGTCAGCGACGAGCACCTGAGATGGTGGTTGGACAGTGGAGAGGGCCAGGCAGATGCCTGGCAGTTTGAGGTCCACTTTTGCCCCACGGGGCAGCGAGGATGCCGCGAAGGCAAACGAGGTCGAGGCAAGGACTTTTTAGGGTGGTTACCGTGGGGGACCTCTCCAGCAAGAAGATTGACTGGCTCAAGGCGCAACCCTCGAAAAAGTACGTGGAGGAGGAACTCCAAAGACTAAGTGATCTCCCTACGGGGAAGGCAGCAGATGATGGAGGAGGAGGTGCTGGAGGCCTAGGCTTCGACGAGCAGCACCTTCCTCCAACACGAGGCCTTGAAGGGTCTGACAGAGCTTGAGAAGGAGATCGGCAGAGGCCGACAAGCCCGTAAGAGGCAAGGAACCCCAGAGAGGGAACGCGCCCCTACGGGGGAGAAGCCCAAGGAGGCAGAGAGGGAAAAGAAGAAGTTGAAGAAGAAGAAGAGAAAGAAAAATGAAGATGCAGCCGCCCAAGGGCGAGCGACAAGCGCGCCAGCAGGCCCGAGCGACAAGGGCTGGTTCGGACAGCCAGCAAGGGCTACGTCATCGAGCACCCCGGCGAAAAAGAAGAATAAGAAAAAGAAGAAAGAGAAGAGCCGGGCGAAAGGCTCGAAAGACAGGGGCCTTTTTGGGGCCGGTGCCAAGATGGACTATGGTGGTGGAGATCTGGCTTCCGACGACTCTTTAGAGGATAGCTAGCTTTTTCGCGAAGGCCCCCATTCCGGAGGAGCCAGCCTGCAGCTGATGCTGCAGGAGTACGCCCAACGAAGGCCGGGGCTCCAGACTTCTGCAGAAGATGCAGGTAATGGTCGCGAAGGAGGGGGGGCCGTTGACAACCCTGAGGACAGGGAGCAGGACGCCGCCAGTGGCCACCAACTGGACGCTGACAATGATGGCGCCGAAGCAGCCGCCGATCCGCCTCCTACGGGAGATGCGCACCCTCGCGATGGCCCTGGACGAGATCGCAGCAGGTCGTTACCAGTACGCGGCGGACGTGCTGGCACAGAGGCTGAAGGCACTGGAGCTGTTCCAGAGCGACGGCGGCTGGAATCGTGCCCAGTACCTGGAGCTGCTGGACGCAGAAGGGCCCAGCCTGCTAGGTCGGGACGAGGCGGTGATGGCGTCGAAAGAATGGGTGGGCGAGCTTCGGATGCGCCGCCTGCAGACCAAAGGAGGAGGAAAGGGAGATCCCAAAGGAGACCCCAAGCGCGAGACGAAGGGGGATCCGAAGGGACAAAGGGGGGCAAGAAAGGAAAAGGAGGCAAAAGGAAGGAAGCCCCCCAAGAGTGAGGAGGGAGAGACCGGCTACGGCCGAGGATTAAGCGAACCCTCTTGATACAGCGGCGACGGGGGAGCATGCCCCGGGCCTGAGCTCACTTTTGTCGGATGGGGTCTTTGACTTTGACCTCGGGGACCTTGGTGACAGTGACGATGAAGGCCTCCCCACGGAGAAGAACTTGAAGCCGTTCTGGGCGGAGATTGCAAAAGGAATCTCCATGGAAGAGTGGAGGACGAAGATGAAGAAGGCGATGGATCGAGAGCCAAAGCTTAAGTGGGTGGGCAAGCTGCTCCTCGATGCCATCTTGTCCTTCAAGACGGCCCTTGGAAACTTTGCTCGCGCACACGCGAACCCGGAGGAGCTGCCCCCGGGCGACGAGCCCACTTCACACCGAAGCCGTCGAGGACAGCACGGGGACTTGATACCTATCCACCCTGCCCTTATTATTCAAGGCCTGGAGGGAATCTCCACTGACAACCTCCACTGGGTCCGTCTTATTTTGCTAGGGCTGGACTTCCTGTATTGCTCCGCGTGGTCAAAGGCGGTTTGTGTGCCAATGGCTCGGGCACTCACCACCAACCAGAAGGAGGCCATCAAGCGAATTGGGGAGCAGGTAGACCGTTTCATTCTACGTGAGGACCGGCTCCCTCCGGCCAAGGCCGCGGCTGCAAAGTTGTGCTCTAAAAAGTTTGATTATAATGGTCAGCCAGTGGAGCACATGAGGGACCTCGTCGCCGAGAAGGTCCTGAAGGCCTGGCCGAAGGTCGGATCCACGACGGTGGTAGACCTGAGGGACTGCCTGCCAGAGGAGCTGAGAACTGCCCTTGATCGGCCACGGGACTTCTTGCTGCCCGAGGCAGAGCTTCCGGAGAGGCACAGGGGGTCCAAGGTGAGGGCCTCCGATGAGGAATGGCACAAGATTGTGAAAGCCGGTTACGACCGAGGAATGTTTGTAGCTGTCGACGACCGTGAGGTGCCCCGGGACAAGCAGGGCCACCTCATCACGAATGGGGCCGGGGCTGTTGTGAAGATGAAGAAGGAAGGGGGCCGAGACGTTGAAGCGCAACGCTTTATCTCGGTTCTGTGCCCCACCAACGATGCGATGAGGCTGCTGCCAGGGGCCCAAAACAAGCTCCCATACATTGGGCAGCTTACCGCTATTTTGGCGGAAAGGGACTCGTACCTGGTCCTTGACTCCGAGGACCTGTAGTCGGCTTTCAACTTGTTTCGCATGCCGTTGGAGTGGGCCTCGATGTTCAGCTTCGCGCAGAAAGTAAGGGGAGATGCTCTTGGAGGGTCTCGGAATGTTACCCTCCGGCCCGCCTTGCGAGTCGTGCCCATGGGGTGGACTAGTGCAGTGACCCTCATCTAGGCGGCTATCAGGCACATCGCCTACTCTATAGCAAAGATTCCTCCCCACGGGGATGTTACAATGGATCAGGAACTACCCTCGGGAGGGGCGATGACGATCCTCTACTTCGACAACTACGATGAGATCGGAGAGCCCTCCCCTCACCACAAGAAATTTATTAAGGCATGCAACACATTGGGCCTCCCACGAAACGAGGCCAAGCAGCTCTGTGGAGCTTTGTCGGGCACCCTCCAAGGAGGAGAGATCCTCGGCGACCCAAAGATCCTGAGGCATGCCTACGACAAGTCGGTGGAGCTCTTGGGCCTTGGGCTCGGGCTCCTCGTCAATGGCACCATGCCGGAGCACTGCCTGAGACATTGGACCGGTAAGGCGGCTTTCGCTGCCGCGTTTCGGCGGCCAATGTACTCCATACTACAGGAGGTGTATGGTGTACTGGAGGTGAACAGGGCTGGGGCTCATCTGGCGCTGCCTACGCCGGTGATGGACGAGGTGCTGGTCTTCACGGCACTCCTTCCCCTGGCCGAGACGTGCCTCTTGTTGGAGGTGTCTCTCGAAATTAGTTGCACCGATGCGTCGCCTACGGGCGGAGGCTGCTCGGTGGCAACTGGATTCAAAGACAAAACTTTGATTCTCCCGGACCCGGTCGCGGATGAGAACTTCTGTGGGTCATGCGGAAAAGAGATGAATGAGCCGACGTGGCGCACCTATCCCTACCCCTGCCCTCGACGCTGCGGCCTTAGATGATGCTCGCTGCTTTGCACCCGCGACCACGGAGAAAAGTGTGTGCGCCAATGGTGGTACACCCCGTCCTTCGGGGAAAGGTTCTCGGGGAAGTCTTTCCCGCTGACAAAGGCAGTCGGCCTGAAGGGAATCTCCACGCAACCTCCGCTGGACTACGAGATTGCTGGGGACCAGTGGGATCTCCGGACCAACGAAGGCAAGGCCCGGCTGGACGAGCAGGAGGCCGAGGGAGACTTGATGCGGACCCACTGGGCCCCTTCCAGAATTACGTTCCTCATCGACCGTCGGACTGGTTACTGGGACTGGCAAGGCAACACAAAGCTTCGAGACCGCAGCCACTCGGAGGGCCTCCCGAAGCTCAGGCAGCACCTCAACGTCTCGGTGAGGCAGGCCAACGCACTGGCCAAGCGCGCAGCGCGTGGGTTGGTTGAGGCCAACCGCAGAGGCAGGTTTACTTCTTTGGAGCATCCCTACAATTCCTATCTGTGGAGCCTGCCAGAAATAAAATCTCTCTAAGGAGAAGGGTGGTACCATTCGATCTTCTCGACCTATTGCCACGGAAGCCCGAGGGAGACTTGGCTGTGCATTTTGCACAACTCGGCATCGCTGCATGCGGTGCTACACAAGCCGGTCTATGATGGTCACCATCATGTGGAGTATCCTGTAGAAGATGAGGATGAGGATGAGTTCTCAGAGTACCCCTGGGCTCTCTGCCTGGTGATGGCTGAGGGGATCTATGATGAGCTCAACTCCCTCTACTCTGAGCCCTTCGGCTCCCTTCTACGGAATTTGGAGCGCCTTTTGCACCACCAGCTGCAAGGGGCCACCAAAGGGCTTCAACAGTAGGCAGCGGTCAGCTGGGCTGTGGCTCAATGCTCAGCCTTCCTTGAGACCATGGAGGCGGGCAAAGAGAAGGAGCACCTGCTCTGGCTCCTTCGCCATGCCTACCACACGGGGTGCGATGTCAGGTTGACTGATCGCGGAGATGACATCCTGGGGCATCGCCCTGGCCCCTACCCAGCGTTCCGCTGGCACTGGAAGGATGTTCTCTCGTACCGTTGGCGAGAACCTCAACACATCAACGTGCTCGAGATGACAGCCTTCTTCACGGAACTTCGCAGGAGGGCCAGGGACAAGGACGAACTCGGCAAGAGGTTTTTCTGCGTGCTCGACTCCCTGATCTCCTTCTATGTGCTGGGCAAAGGACGATCGTCTTTAAAGAGGTTAAATAGAGTCAGCCGCCGCATCGCAAGCCTTTCTTTGGCGTCAGGCCTGATCCCCATGTGCCTATGGACCATCAGCAAGGGGAACTTCTCAGATGGTACGTCGCGCAAATACGAGCCGCAATGACCACCTGCGGTTCTTGGGGATCACGGCCAAGACTAGAAGGTCTTACGAGAATGCAGTGGCTGCTCTGTTTCAATACCTCAACGTCCTATGGGGCAGGCTGCCTCGCACTATGGCAGAACTGGATGAGGAACTTGCAGAATACATCAATCACCTTTACCAGGAGGGTGATGCGGTGACCGTGGCAGGATGGACGCTTAGTGGCCTGAAGCGTTTCTATCCTCGCTGCAAGCCTCATCTTCTGACCTCCCAGCTTTTTCTTCGCAACTGGCAGAGAGTACCCCTGCCGCAAAGAACCTGCCCGATGACATGGCTGGGGGCCAGAGCTATGGCTGGAGCAGCTTACAAGGTTGGGCGACCAGACCTGGCTCTTTCAATCTTTTTGGGCTTCGCTTTCTTCTTGCGAACTATGGAGCTGCTTTCGTTAACGATTCGGCACCTTCACATCTTCCCGGAGGAAGGTACCATTATCATTGTAATCGTTAATTCAAAAACTTCCAGAGGCCTGCAGCAATCTCTCTCTTTAAAAGAGCCCGGCCTCGTCGCTGTCATCAGTTTTCTTTTAGACCGGGTACGCCCGAGCTCACTTCTGTATACACATTCAGTGGCTGCCTTTCACAGAGAATTTGGATGCCTTGTCAAGGCAATTGGGTTTGAACCCCAAGCCTTCCTCCCGTACTCACTGAGGAGGGGAGGAGCCACTGAGTACTACCAGCGCACTCAAAGTCTGGGCCGCACCATGGTGCAGGGAAGATGGAAAGATTCCCAGACAGCTCGCATCTATATTGACGACGCGAGAGCCACCCTGGTGCAGCTGTCTCTTTCCCCACCCACTGCCGCCCTCCAATGTTCTTTGGCTTCCGTTTGGCGAGTGGCGGTGCCAGGGTGCTGTTCCTGAGTGGGACAGTTGGCATTGGAGGTTGGCGCAAAAAGGGTGCGGCCGGAGGATCTTCCTACGGGAGAGAGGCCCCAGGGCCAGGAAAGGCGCTGTACAGAAGTTTGCAGTTTCATTGCGCTTTGCGCCAACTGGATACCTTCCAGCTCCTTCGGGATAAAAAGAGTGTCACCGCTGTGAATACTCCCAGTGCCCAGCGCAGCTTTAGCGGAGTGCAGCACGCTCTTTTCACAGATGCCTCGCTCACGCATCGAAACTTTTGGGCTCGCCTCCACCTCCCCGCCACCGCGCAAAAAGGGTGCGGCCGGAGGATCCTCCTACGGGAGAGAGGCCCAAGGGCCAGGAAAGGCGCTGTACAGAAGTTTGCAGTTTCACTGCGCTTTGCGCCAACTGGATACCTTCCAGCTCCTTCGGGATAAAAAGAGTGTCACCGCTATGAAAAACATTTCCGAAATTTCAGTACCGGGAGCATGTCCTAGAGGCTTTGAAGAGGAAACACATCCGATTTTGGGGCCGCTCGAAAAGCACGCAAGAGGCTTGTAAGAAGAAGCGCATTAGGATTTGAATGCCGAAATTTTAGTGCCCGAGACAGGTACACAAGATACTTTCAACAAGTAACGCGTTAGGATCTTGGTAGCACAAGTGTACTTGCTTTTGTTAAGCAGGAGCTTTTTTAGCTGTGAGATTAAGAAATATGGATAGTCACTGTGTCATTACATTCAAAAAAAATTTCTATCGTGTCGTAATTTGCATCGTTGCAAGCACGATTATTAAAGTACGTCCGAACCTCTGTATGTTTGTCTATTTGTGTGGGTGTCTAGTCGTCTGAGTGTACATCTATCTATCTATTGTTTGAATATATTTGTCTCTGTGGATATTTATTTGATTGTCTATTTATTTATTTATCTATTTATGTATATTTATCTATATTTGTTGATAGAAATTTTTTTGTTACTTTGTTCTATCTATGTATGGATAGATTTCGGGCGAAATAATTAAAAGATAAATATAAATAAAAAATAATTGCCTAACTGATTTGAAATAATTTAACCTATATTTGATGATAGCTTAAGACATTTATTTTTCACAATACGATTTACTTCGATATTTTATTTTATCGACGATATTTAATACTATGATTTGATAATGGTAAACATAAAATAGGTTTATTTTGATATCGGACCTAATTTCTAAGATTTTTTGATTTAACGGGCATGCAAGACGTAGACGACGCCCCCCACGATAATGATAATGATAGATTTAGATATATTATAAAATACTTCTTTATATTAGGCCAACTACTAGTTTTTTCTAATTGATTTTTACTATTGCGCTTGAATAATTATACTAAATTCTAATTATATAGACGAAATCGCCTATTCTAAAGAGATTAGTATTTGAGATATAGAATAGTTCGATCGAGATCCTCTCGTCCGATTCATTACCAAAAGTCGAATGATTTCATATGATAATATTATGAAATTAATTACGATTGAAGAAAATTGGTCTATTTTGATTAGATCGTATTATATATCATAGATTAATTTAATTTCAAATTATTTATAATTATTAGAAATACGATATTTCTGAAAGTGGATAGTTCTGAAAACGATCTCGTGTTTGATTCGTCAATATATCATGATCTATTATATATATATTGCATATTTCTTCGTATATCGATAATTGATTTCGTCAAAATGACTCATATATTTACGTCCGAACTATCCTTATTATAATGATTTTTGCCATACGAGCTGCTCTCTTCACTTGATCGCAAATTCTCACGATGACATTTTATCCGAATAATTATACGCGCACGCACCCACATATACATATATTTGCGTAATAGGGAAGACATTATTTATAATACTATTCCTGGTGCTCTATTTCATCCTCGTGATATTCCAATATTTCTTCGTTTAGATCATATATAGTCATGCCCCTTATTTTGAGAGATTGCTATCTCTTTGCCGCGTCAAGCTATAATAATATACGCACAGATTCTCTAACGTACTAGTACAATCGCCTCTCGCCAATCGACTGTTGCCTCGCCCGCATGCCACGCCCAAAACTTGATTTCTTTTGAATACGAATTATAGTAGTCAAGGGACACGTTCATATATATATATGTACGTCTCTTAAAGCGGACATATTCACGCACAACATTGAATTTAAATAATTCTTTGATAATTTTCCAAAATATTTTTCTAAAGAAGGCATCAATTTTTGATTTTAAAATATGTTTGAAATTATAGGTCATTCATTTTGGAATATTCAAGCTGTTTTTGAGAGGTATTAAAGCCACAGGCGGCACACACGACAAGCAAGTCATATAGATAACGATAGATCTATATATATTATAAATCACTTCCCTGTCCGAAGATAATTACCAACTATATCTCACTGATTATATTTATTACGTTTGAACAGATCAATATTAATTTTTGATTAAGCAGACGAGAATCCTAATTCCAAGAAGATTAGGATTCAAAGAATTTGAAATATGTAATAGTACAATCGAAATCTTCTTTTTCGATTCGTTATTTCGTTAAATATCATCATATAATAATATTATGATCTCAATTGCGCTTAGATAAATTTGAATTTCTTTGATCAGATATTCTTATATCATATATTAACTTGATCTCTAATCGTCTCCATCATTGTCAGGACTGCGACAATTACGAACATGGACCCATATTTGATTCGATATTCTATCACGACCCTATTATACGTATTATGGCGGTTGTATCCATAAAAATTAGGTCTCGTGATTCGTAGAATATTGAATCGCTCGGAATATACGTCCCAATTACCTTAATAGTACGATTATTCCAGCACGAGTCTGTCTCTTTATTTGCTATTATATCTCATGATATCGTTTCATCTTACCATTATTTCGAAAAATCAATATATTTATTTTCCGGGAGCTACACTATTGATTCGCTATAAGGTCTCACTTTATGACGCTCTCCAATTAATCGTCTAGTGATAGACTTGATTATATATCAAAGGATCGCACTATCAATTCGCTATTATGTCTCACGCTGAGATATTGTTCAATTATCAGCACCATATCATTTGCGCAAGACTACTTGACTCGTAATTGCAACACGGACTATTCAGTGGGGGCTGCACTATTGATTTGCAACTACATCGCGCGTTGTCATGCTATGTCTTTATCCGAAGTTGCCGTAGCGGGCGGGAGGCATTATTTATGATATTATTCCAGATCTTCTTCTTTATTTTCGTGCAATTCCAATATTTCGTTCTTTAGATCATGAATAGTTAAGTCTCTCACTTAGCGAGAATATTGTCTCCTTGCCACATCAAATTCTAAGAGGGCACACATACATTCTCTAAAATATTAGTATAGTCGCCTCTTCCCCTTAGATTATTGCCTCGCCTGTGTGCATTTCCTTTGTGCGCAAGTTACAGTCGTCAAGTGATGTGCGCGCCCTTTACGCTTTCCAAGCTTTTCGGCGCGTTATCTCTAATATATGGTGCAGCGTCGCCCGACCCCCCCCCCCCTCCCCCCCCTCCTCCCTCCCCATGGTTACCCCCCCTTACCCACTCTATTATGCTTGCCTTCCCCTGTGGTGTGCGTGGGGGGTTATTTACATGGGTTGTTTAACTCCCTCTCGTCCCCCTGTGGTGTAGTGGTGGATTTTGGGATTTTAATCCGCCTTCTCCCCCCCTGTGTTGTGGTGTGGTCTGGTGTAGTGATGGGTTGTGAGTTACAGATTTAGTATTAAACCTCCTTCCTTCCTCTCTGTGGCGTGGAGGGGGCGTTAGGTTTAGGATTTCGATTCAGATACTCGCACAAGGCTAGCATGACTAATGAAGGTCCGCGCTTAGGGTTTAGGGTTTGCACCCGCCCCGCCCTTTTGTGGTGTGGGTGGTGGGGATATTTAGGGTTTGGGCGTATTGATATGAAAGGATTTAAGGTTGAAAATCAACAAATGGACGCGGCACAGACCCCAACCATGATCTATCTAGGTGAATGTCGCCAATTTGGACACGTCATGAAGTTGCATACAAAAACCGCAACACTCACGAGGATCCCAGGTTGGGAAGACCTCTCCCTTAATTATTGATATTTTTGAAATAAAAATGACGATCTTCATGACAAAGAAGAGGGGTCATCGACACGCGACCACAAAATATATAATTACCTGTTCCCCTTCTATTGTTGCCTCGCCCACTCTCTCCCACCCAAAGGTTAATATCCTTTGTGCCCGAATTATAATAATCAAATGGCGCATATATTCTTCATATTTTCTAATTTTTCCACCCATCTCCGTCTAGTGATAAATTATTCAGAAAATAAGAGTTTATATCCAAATTTTACAATCTATATTAGTATCATCTATCTAGTGTTATCATCGCCTTCGTGACAAAGACGGTGCTACTACTACTCGAAATCATACAGAAAATAATTCAGAATTAAGAAGGTATTCTTTTAGATATAAAATTTCGTTCTATCCTTTTAATATCAAATTATTACCAAAAATCGACGAGTCTAATCAAAATCTATTCATATCCAATAATATAAAACTATCATTTTCGAAAGAAATTCTTCAATTCTTCTTTTTAGAAATATATTTATAATTACGAATTTTCGATATCAGAAAAAACTATAATCTAATTAAGAAATCTCAAAGCCATATCTCTTACAGAACATTATTTTTCTTTTCTATTCTATAACCGTCTTTTATCTATACATCTAAAATTAAAATATTTTAATTTAATCAAAATCAATATCAGATTCTATCAAGTATGATATATCATTCAACTATCATGTTCTCTTTATTTATTCTTCAATTTATATCAAGTTCAGATTTCTCGCATAATATAATGCTTGAATATCCTTGCAGGAAATTGAATATCTATTCGAAAAAAAGGTTTTCATATATAATGCACTAATCGAAAAATCTTTTCTCTAGAGATATTTTGAATTTAATAGACTATAGAAAAATTGTTGTATTTTTCCGAAGCCAGGATCTGCCTCTTGTCGTGTGCTGCCGTGTACAGCTCCACTTTAAAAGAAATTTGTGTGCCGCAGTATCATGACTTCTGATTTGCACATCCGACTTGTCATCCACCTAGCTGCTAATCGTCGTTCGATTGCAACACTCAAAATCTTGGCAAAAGCCTGTGCCAGCAGCATCACAGGCAGCACAGAAACTTCGTTATCCAATTGCGATGGGCTTGTGCTAAGCAGGCAAGCGCGAATCGCCGCACGCAAACCGCAAGAGGGCCTTGCGGCGTGAGTAAAGTGCCACCACTCCACTGCTGCTGCCCGCAGTGAAATGACAACACTTTCCAACTGTGGTGAAACACGCGGCGTGACACTGCCCTTCACAAGACCATATCTCCAAAAGAAGAAAACTGTGTGGCTCTTGATCAGATCGCGCCA